TTGGTTAAACATTCTGACATTCGATAAAACTTTAATATACATAATTTGTTTCATGTAGTTCGTATTATTTTTATGATTTTCTTGTGATAAAAGCACTTTTGACGTATAATCACATGTGGTTTTATTAAACCATATTTATGTGATTTAGACGTGAAAAAGTACTTTCATTTTTATTTTAACAGTTTTTGTTTTGTCCGAAAATTATCATGCATCCGGTGTAAGGATGATAGTTTAGTAATGTTTCACCACCACAGTTTAATTTTCAGAAATCCTCAACACACTGGAAGGTCTTTTAAACAAATATGGCGATTATTGCAAATTTTGGATTGGACCAAATCTTAATGTATGTGTGAAAAATGCAGGCGATATTAGAGTGAGTAAAAGTTAATGTAAGGAAACATAAAATAAATAAAGAATAGATAGGGTTTTATTCAACATATTATACAAATATTTATATAGAAAATCACATGATATTATACGCAGGTATTTATAAACTATGAGGTACTCTCGTTTCTATTGTGTTGTTGATGAAAAGGATAGACTTCCAGCATAGTGCTGTTTTGCAGTCTCTCAGTTTTACTCTCGGTAAGTTATCTTAGTCTAATATGTACCCTAGTTCTGTAGAGCTAGCACAACATGGCGCGACTTGCGCGAGAGGGATATAAAGCGCGACATAGGGGGAAGTGCCCTAGTGGCGGATCCCTAAGGTTATAAGACATTAAAGAAAAACATGATTCTAGGAATGTAGATTTATTTATCAATTAACAATATCAACAAATTTTAGAATCAAAATAAATGAACAAATGTACAATCTCTCCATAAACATGCTTAAAAATATAAATGAAACGTTGGTAACAAAAATGGCTACAGCTGCAAGTGGCACCTATTACCGTCTTAACTTCAAGCCCCCGACATCTATAAAACATCATGCACCGATCGCATATGTAGTTTTCTGAACATTCAGGGATGTCCGCACGTATCATGATCCCATCCACGGCAGCTGGAGCACTGTATCCAGGCATCGTCGTGGTCCTCTTAGCATGCTACATAAGTAGTCGTATTCCTCGAACGTAGAATGCTGTAATTTGGACCATATCAAGGCGAGAGTGAATAGACATTATTTAAGTTTGCATGCTACATCGTCGACCTCATCGTCACTTCCATCGTCCATCAGGTGAGATGGAAGTCAGATGCGCACTTATTTTTTCATGAAAAAAGTAGTTTCTATATTAGACATTTGAGTTTAACGGTTACATTTCCTTTGCTTTGTATCCACTCTTTCCTTTGGCCTTTATTCCTTTGGCCTTCACTCCTTTACTCTTTTGGGAAGCACCCTTTCTCTCTTGTTGCTAATCTCAACTATCTACCCAATTCTTTCTTTTTATCCCTAAGATTTTTTTCATTGTCTTTTTCTTCAACAGCAATTTGGTATGGCCATTGATCCCATTTTTCTTTCTTTTTCCTCTTTTTACGATGTACTGTTTTTTGATGATGAACTAGTTCCCTTTGTTCTTCTATCACCTAAAACATCATACAACAACTATTATAAAAATATAAATAAATACTTTCGAGAAAAACACATGTCTTTACTATCCGATGTTAAGGGACTACTTCTAGGGGCAAAAATTCTTTAAAAATTTACAATAACTTTTACAAACATCGAATACTTATACGAGTAGAACACTACGTAAAAAAACAATTGCCTTGAACACTTAAACTCAAAAACATCGCAGTAATACTCACCTTGATCTTGAGTGACGTAGAGAATTCCTGCCAAAAGCAAAAATCTACTGCCCCACCTGGACGTCGACGTCACTAACGCGAATCGAGAAGCCTCAGTTTTCTGAGGCGCTGTGGCGTAAAATACTTGGGCCTCATCCTGAACGGTCGCTGGGATTTCGAGGAGCACTTCCGGCGTGTGGTTCCCCGGATCGATATGGTGGCGGGTGCATTGCACCGGTTGCTGCCCAACCTAGGGGGCCGTTCGGAGGGAGGTCGCCGTTTATACGGTGGGGTGGTGCATCCGTGGCTCTGTATGGGGCGCCCGCCTGGTCACACCGACTGACGGGCGTCCGGCGTTGCAGAGCCATGCTCAATGGCGTGCAGCGCCGCATGGCCAAGGGGAGGACGTAGGTGCCCCCTCCTAGGTGCTGGGGGGGTTCCGGTGCGCAATCCTTCGCACTAGAGCACCCGAGAAGGCCACGGTGGAGTTTTAGCCGGTAGAAGAATAACCTCCCGCTGCCCCGCGGCGGAGAGGTATCTTAGGAGGATTTCCCCACGCAAAAAAAAAAAGAAAAAAGGATGCAACTTCGGTATTGTTACAAATGTTACAGTAACAAATATTCGTACTTCAAAAGTAACAAAACCGACAGTGTAAATAACGGCTTAATTGGTAATTTAATTCTCTTTAGTAACGTTTAGTAACTTTTGAAGCTAAATAAGCCAGTCTCATTTTTAAACCGGTATTATACAGCTTATAAACTGACGTTATCAGCGTAAAAGTGGTGATGCAATGCGTAAAGCCTATGCGAATACAAGATTTAATTTGATTTAAAATTAGTCAAATTTAGTTTTTTTATATGTACCTATATAATAGTAATCGTATATGACTAATGTAATAATATTTTTTTATATATGAAAACTGCATCCAAATGTATAATAATTATATACTTATTATCATTTAAAGTAATATTTTCGAAAAAAAATGTGAGTTACTCCACTTTTGTGCTGATAGCTTCAATTGCAAAATTACTGCATTTTCCACTAGTGCGTCGGTTGTATATGTTTATAATTATGTTTCAGCTGTTGTTAACGAGTAACCAACTTAACAAAAAAGGGCCTTTCTATGAAGAAATGAAGTCTTTTATTGGTTCCGGAATTTTATCTGGTGGTAAATATAATATTGCACAGGTGCACTTGAAAGGGTCTTTGATTTTGAAGGATATATATTTTTTGATATTATAAACACACAAGGCTTAGTCGACAAGGCGACCGGAGTAGTCATAGGTTCCTTTGTACACTGACAAATTACATAGAAAGTAATATTTTTCAACCCATATCCAGGCCCAAATTGGCGCAACCACAGAAAAATAGTGACACCATCATACAATAAGATATCAGTGCAAGTTTACTCAAAAGTATTCAACAAGGAGGCAAGAGAGTTGGCCACAGTTCTCGCCAACAAAAACCCAAAGACCACCTTCAATGTTTACTGTGACGTTGTACGTTTTACTACGCAATCTGTCTGCCGTGAGTAAATTTTTTTACTACCCTTCCGATATAACATGAATGTGCGTAAATTTAGACGAAATCGTAATTAGCGACGAATTCGATATTAAAGCTAATATTTATCTTCATCATTACAATCAACCAAAAGATTTCCATTTTTATATAAAAAGTGAACATTTTCAGATATTTTTGAGGATTCTTTTTTTATAAAAAATCAAGTGCGCCTTTGACCTTCACCTCACTTGACGGAAAGTGACGATAAGGTAGACGATGTAGCTGCGTACCTAAATAATGCTTATGCATCTACAAAAGGCCCAAGTTATAGGAATAAGTCTGCAGGCAGGACTTCCACTCCTTAGACGTTCCCTATATAAATGTAGAAGAGAAACGCTTAGTGCGAATCTTTGGAATATCCACAACATAGGAGTGGAACCCCAGCCTACGTCTAGTCCCCCGATGATGAAAAGAAAAGGAAATTATATCGTGCAATTCCATTTATTGTCTTCCTATTCAAAAGAAAAATACTCGTTGAGTTTGCAGTCCTTAATAAGTACCATAGCAACGACGTTAACTCCGGGGCGCTATACTCAGGGGGGTATACTGTCAAATAAGTAATGCTTAAGCTTCATTCGCATCATGCGTCCTTTAATCAGTCAGTAATTGTTTCGGACGGATGTTGAACGGAGGACGAGAGTACGGGTCCTGCACTAAGACGTGGACCAATTTAAAAAAAGGTCCGTTCAAAAATTCGAATCGAAGAATCGAGTGTCTACATTGTTAGCCGCTGGGCCAGTGACGTCGTCAATCAGAACCTTTTGTTATGCAAAGTCGATGATTACAAGCACAACAAAAATTGTCAATACAAATATTTTACTCGATTGACTCTGGAAGAGGTAGAAGAGTGAATCGAAACCGAACTCTACTTCGTCTGACATAAGTTTTATTTTACAGAAACGCTAATGGGATTGTCAAAAGAGGAGTCTAAAAATGTGAAAAGAATGGATGAAATTGTTGCATTAACCCAGTCGTATGTATTATTGCTGTAATTTCAAATAAATATTTATATGACCTTCATTTATTACTCTCGTGCGATTTTGGGTGTGATTTGTCGATGACTATGTATGTGTCCACGGCACCACTGTGTACACAGATCACCATGCTTTCTGGCCAAATCTGAGCACATTATTATATGTATTTGAGCATTATTTATGCCTTTTCTGATATTCAAATTCTAGAACCTATTCATCTTGTTCAAATATAATACAGTACTTAATATAATACTTTGTGTTTTTCAGAATGTACAACAATATATTCGAAAATATCGCGCACTGGTGGTTACGTATACCTGGTGTGAAAATTCTCACAGGTCGCTGTAATAAAGAAAAGTACTATATTAAGCTCATACAAGAGTTCACTTCAGATATTTTGGAGAGGAGGACAAGGGCGTTGAATGAAAGTGGAGGAACAATTGAAGAATATATGGGGATTGTTGATAGATTTATTTTGTCGGGAGAAGTCAGTGACCAAGATAAACGATTTGAAATATTTACACTCTTCACAACTGTAAGTAGGTAGTTTTAAATTATTACAAAATAATCTCCCCAGAAAATCATTATGTTAAGAGTGCCTACGTTTCGGAAAGTATTGCCACCTAACTATTTCTGCCGCCAAGAAGTAACGGGGTTCTGGTGAAATACAGTCACATAAGACAAGGTCTACTTTATGTCTCAGGGTCACGAGCGCTGTCAATGGCAGTGCTTCTCAGATCTATCGTCTGTTAGACTACTGGTACTTTTGAAATTGTATGAAAATAACTTTTTTTTAAATTGACCAATTTTTTCTTCCCGTACAATAAAATGATCCCTTCATAAAACTGAGTCGCTTAGTACAAAAAAAATTTTTTTCAATTTTATATAAACTCACGCTTGACCAAAAAGTTAACTATGCCAAAATTGTTGTCACAAAAAAGACGTAAGCAATGGTTCCTAAGGTAGTTTCCCTCTATATCCTATGGTTTCGGATTTCCCCATACTGTCCCATTAAAAAAAAGCACGGTTTATGGTATATATGGTATATATTATGAATCATAATTTAGATGTAATAATCTCAGTACAGAGTACTAAAAAAACTGACCTCAAAAGTACGTGGAATTACGTCTATTTGCTAAGTTTTATTGAAATATCCCCTAGTTCGCCATTATACAGGACTTGACACTGGAGATAATAAAAATCGGTTCTCAATATTCAAAGTATGTTGCGAGAAAAACGCCTTGAATTGGAGAAATAGCAAAATCAAACATTAAAATAATTGCTGCTTATAATAAAATTTAGGCGCTATTTATAAAAATGCATCTTCATGCGTGAACAGCCACCCTTAGAGGTGGATGATTTTTTTCAAAATGAAATGGGATCACTATGGAAGTACCCCCTTTCCAACAAAAAAAGAATCATGAAAATCGGTTCACAAATACCGGAGTTATCGCGTAACACACATATAAAAAAAAGAACATAGAGTCGAATTGAGAACCTCCTCCTTTTTTGAAGTCGGTTAAAAATCGATACAAAGAAATGTCATGAAATCATTGTCAAAGTGTGAATACAGCAGCTTGATTTCGATTGCCTCTTGATTTGATGGGCTGCCCGATCGGATCGATTCCGACTTGAATTAAAATCAGGGCCCAGGTGTGCTAAACCTTTTATTTCTACGGAATTTTAAAAGGTTCCCATTTTCTAAAATTTTAATTATCTATTATTAAAAAAATACCAATAAACAAAAACTCAACAATCTAACAGACGCACTTCGGAGACAAGAAAAGATTCGAACTCGAGAACTGAAGCACGAATGACGTCTGACATCTGACATGACATATGACACGATTAAATGGTGATACAAAAAATGTTTTGGATCCTGTAGTAGATATAAATATGTTGTGGGTATTTAGAAATAAATATGCATGTGAGTTAATAAACCAGTCGTATGTCATCAGTTGTTTAATTTGGACACATACATTACTACATGGTGTCAGGTGTGGTTTTAAAACGCGTAATTGTGCATAAAAGTGTTTAAAAGTGTTCATATTTAGTGTACATTAACAATGACGGATAAAACTGTGCGCACGGCCGGCGTGTATGCTGCGATACAGCAGCCGGCGCCTTTGCAACAAGAGGGCAATATAACGACGAACTGGCGAGAATGGAAAATGGCGTTTGAATATTTTTTAATTGCCTCAGACAAGGACGCTGTAACGAGCAAAGAGAAATGTGCACTATTCATGCATATCATAGGAAAACACGGACGAGAAATCTATGAGGAGTTAGATATTACCGAAGCCGAAAAGTCGAATTACGAAGTGTTGTGCAAAAAATTTAATGATTATTGCGATCCACAGAAAAATATTAACTACGAGAGGCACATATTTTTTGAGACTTATCAGAATGACCTCACTTTTGACAAATTCTTAGGAGTTTTGAAAATAAAAAGTAAAAGTTGCGGTTTCGACAGTTTAAAAAATAGTCTTATATTAACTCAGCTTATTCGAGGACTAAAGGATGTTCAAATGCGAGAAAAATTATTAGCAAAATCGTCGCTCGGCTTAGAAGAAGCGGTGATTTGGTGTCGAGCGGCAGAGCGAGCGGGACAACAAGCGGCCGGTTGCAGCGCGCAGCACGGCACTAGCAGCGCCGGCGCCGTGGAGCGCTTATGGCGCGACGGTGCACGGATGGCGGTGGGTGCGCCAGCGCCCCGAGGCCGTTGGCGCGGCGGCCGCGGCGGTCGCGGCGGGATGGCGCGGCGAGCACCTCCACAGCAGGCGGCACGGCAATATTCGAATAATGTGTGTAGTAAGTGTGAGTTAAGGCATAGTGAGAATGCTCGTTGCCCGGCATCGGGAGTGGCGTGTTATCGGTGTGATCGGGTCGGTCATTTTGCGAAATGCTGTCGTGTGCGGCCCGTACAGTCGCACGCGCGCGAGTTGCTCGGAGACGATGGCGGTGATGACGACGACGGCGTTAGCGGGGACGGTTGTGGTGAGCTTATTTTGTACAATATTAACATTGATGCGTCTGACTGTACAGAGTCATGGACAGAAACGATTAGTGTTGATGGCGTGTATGTAGATTTTAAATTGGACAGTGGCGCGGACGCTACGGTAATGTCGTTGCGTTCCTACGAAAAGGCCGGGTTCGATAGAAAAAATCTTTTAAAATGTCATACTATACTTAGAGAAATTAGTAAACAACGATTACCGGTAGTGGGTTATTTTAATGCGTCATTAGTCTGTAATAATGAAAAAAAACGGTGCAAAAAGTTTATGTTTTACAAGTAAATTGTAATAATTTGTTAGGCTTGAGAGCATGTATAAATTTGAAACTTATTGCTCGAACGAGTACGAGTAATGATATCGGTTTGAAAATTAATAAAATTGAAATTGACCAGTCTGTGTTCGTTGGCGTTGGTTGTTTGCCCACTGTATGTAAAATAGAAATAGATAAGTCGGTGTCACCCGTGGTGAACTGTTCGCGAAAAATACCCTTGAAACTGCGTCCTCGTTTAAAGGAAGAATTAGACAACATGGTAAAGCTGGGGGTGATAGCGAGAGAAGATGGCCCTACGGACTGGGTTTCAAACATTGTAGTGGTCGAAAAGTCACATAATAGATTACGAATATGTTTGGATCCTAGACATCTGAATAAAGCGGTGAAGCGTAGTCACTTCCTACTGCCAACTCTTGATGAGATTGTGAGTAACCTTGCAGGCGCTAAATTCTTTTCAAAATGTGATGCGAAAAATGGATTTTGGATGTTACGTTTAGACGAAGAAAGTTCAAAACTTTGCACATTTTCTACACCAGAGGGTAGGTTTAGGTTTTTAAGAATGCCATTTGGAATCAATTGCGCGCCTGAAATATTTCACAATGAAATGCATAAAATCTTTAAAATGGAGGGTGTAGAAGTTTATTGTGACGATTTATTGATCTGGGGAAAAACAGAAAAACAACATGATGACAGGTTAAAAGAGGTGATGAGAAGAGCTTTGCTGAACGGTATTAAGTTTAATAAAAATAAATGTGTGTTCAAGGCGTCTGAAATTACGTTTCTAGGTCACAGTTTCAATGCAAGGGGTATGAAACCAGAGAACAGTCGAGTAAAGGCAATAGTAGACTTGCCAAAACCGGCCGAGAAAAAGGAGCTAGAGCGATTTTTAGGAGTCACTAACTACCTATCAAGATTCATACCCAATTACTCGGATATATCAGCTCCGTTGCGAAATTTGCTAGGAAAAAATGTCCATTTCGAGTGGCTTAATATTCATGACAAAGCGTTCAACGAGTTAAAGTCAAAAATTAGTAGCAGTCCGGTGTTGAGGTACTACTCGCCGCATGAGCCCGTATGCGTGTCGGTGGATGCGAGTGCGCGCGGGCTGGGCGCGTGCCTCATGCAGGACGGGCGGCCCGTCGCCTACGCGGCCCGCACGCTCGCGCCTGCGGAGACGCGCTGGGCGCAAATAGAAAAGGAGCTGCTAGCTGTGGTTTTCGGTTGCACTCGCTTTCACCAATACATATATGGACATGACGTGATCACTGTCGAAAGCGACCATAAGCCTCTGGAAGCTATCATGAAAAAACCGCTTAACGAAACACCGGCACGACTACAACGCATGCTTTTAAAATTGCAACATTATAATATTGATCTCCGTTACAAGCCCGGGAAAGAGATGTTCATCGCGGACACTTTGTCGCGAGCGCCGAGCGAAGCGGGCTCGTACAGTGACGTGTTTCAAGATGTGGTAGTGCACGTAAACATGTTATACGATAACGTTGAGGCGACGCCCGAAATGTTAAGTAAAATAAAAGAGGACACTACGAGGGATCCCGTATTGCTGGCGGTCTGCGAATACTACCGCAACGGGTGGCCCCACAATAAAAGACAGGTTAAAGATTTTGTGAAACCGTACTGGGACGTCCATGAAGAACTTCACGAAGTGAAGGGTATTTTATTTAGAAATGAGCGAATAGTGATACCGGCGTCGTTACGTAAAGAGATGGTGCGCCGCGTCCACGAGGGCCACCTGGGGGTGGACAAGTGTCAGAGGCGTGCGCGCGGAGTGATGTGGTGGCCGGGCATGTCGCGAGACGTGGAGCGCGCCGTGCTCGCCTGCGAGACGTGCCAGCGACATCGCGCAGCGCCTGCACGCGAGCCGCTGCAGCCACATGCGGTACCCGAGCTGCCATGGGAAGTACTCGCAGGTGACATTTTCGAATTTAGAGGAAAACAATATTTGCTCGTAGTAGATTATTTTTCTAAATTTGTTGAAATTAGTCATTTAGGTAATCTACAAAGTAGCACCGTAATTGAATCACTAAAACAGATGTTCAGCCGACACGGCATACCAAAAAAAATTATCACTGACAATGGCACGCAATTTACGTCATCAGAGTTTAAGACGTTTTGTAAACTGTGGGAATTTATTCACGTCACCAGTTCACCGATGTACCCGAGATCAAATGGACTTGCAGAACGCAACGTACGTACTGTAAAAGGGTTAATGTCAAAGGCCTACGAAACTGGCGAGGATTGGTACTTGGCGTTATTAAATTTTAGAAATTCGCCTGTGACAGGAGAAATATACTCTCCTGCTCAGTTGCTTATGAGTCGAAATTTGAAAACACGGTTACCAGCAACGGAGGAAACATTAAAACCGCACACAATTGATCGTCGTATTTTTAAAGATGACAGATCTGCAAGAATAAATAAATATAAATTAAATTACGACCGTGGGACTAAAACATTGTCTAAATTAAAACCAAACGATACGGTACGCCTTAAGCAAAATAAAGTTTGGGTTAAATCACGCATAGTTGACCACGCACAAGATGGTCGTTCATATTGGCTTCGAACAGAGGACGGCGGACTTTACAGACGAAACCGCCAGCACATATTAAAAGTTCCAAATCAAACACAGGAACAAAACTATCAACCCGCAGCTAACCGTACACGCGGGTATTTAGACTGGGAACAGTTTCAGGGTACGGCGCACCCGGAGCCCGACGGCGCAGTGGCCAGGCCCGATGCGCAGCCCTCTGCTTCGAATAACGAGTATGTTACTCGAAGTGGCAGAGTGGTACGACCGCCCCTGCGTTATTAAGTAGTTTTAACTGGAATTGCCAATAAGTAGGTATTTATAATGATTATTCTAATAGTATTTTTCTTTCTTTTTTTTTGTTAGTTAACTGTGCTTATATGTTTAACTAGTTAGCAAAGATTATGTTTTAAGTAGGTAAGATAACTTCCTCTTTGTTCACTTTTATGTCGCGTAGTAGGCACTATTTTGTTTGTTGTTTTTCTAATATTAGTGTTAGACTGTAAAGTAACGATTGAATGCTAAGTAATGTACTTAAAATATTAATAATAGAAGAGAGAGAGAGAACCAGTAATGTATTGCAAGTATGTCGCATAGAAATAACACGGGCATGTATGAAAGTAACAATAAACTTATTATGTATAAATTATACCTATTATGTATAATCAAATTATGTTATATATAAGAAGGGAGATGTAGTAGATATAAATATGTTGTGGGTATTTAGAAATAAATATGCATGTGAGTTAATAAACCAGTCGTATGTCATCAGTTGTTTAATTTGGACACATACATTACTACAGATCCCGATCGTGTTACCAGTGTCATAAAATTATTTACGACCTTAAACATAGTCTTTTATAACGGTTATTATATTAAACTAAAACAATGATATTATACTTTGATGCTCACTGAACTAAAATAAGTAAAAATATATATTATGTTGCAAAATATGAATTGTTTTAAGTTGTATCAAAATATAGCTTGAAAAGAGTTCTAGAGATTAAAGGTCTATCAACTCGCGGCGCCGCCCGCCGGGACGGGCCCGCAGTTCATACAAACTAGCACGCCCCTGATGTGTGTGGATAGTCCTTTATTATCCGTCTAAAATAGGAAACTACCATTTGAAATGTACTTTTTTTTTTGCTCTGTTAACTGTTTTGCTTTGTTTAGATTTTGGGCATCTAATTACGATTCATACCTTATTATGGTAAAGATAACGCTTTTCCAAGTCTACGTGCAGTCTTTTGGCTGACTTTACGCATATAAATGTTGCCCTTTATGCTTTGTTTTAGAGTCAAGAAGCTTCGGCAAAGTTAGCTTCAGCAGTTCTGTTATTCTTAGCCCACTTACCGGAATGGCAAGTAAGAATCTTTGATACAGACTTGTTTTCTATTTTATTCCGCTGTTTTGTTTCCCAATGGGAAAGCTTCAACACTCTGTTCTGTTAGAGAGCTGCCTGTCAGTCAAATAAGAACAATGTTTCTTTAGTTTATTTATTATTTTATTGTTGCTATTACGATACATTTTTACTAAACTTACCCATTATTTCTATAGCAATAAGTCTCTACAGATATCTATGAAATTGGTTAATGGAATATAATGGAGGCACTGATAATATTTTCAATTTTGAAAAAATGAAACGCCTGTCTTTAAAGACGTTCTAGCAGCGCAATGCGTAGTTTTCTATACAAAACGCCTGACAGTTTTGTCCACCGAGGAGGATGTTCATCGCGAAGTTGTCTTGCATAGTAACATACTGTAAATAAAAAAAAAAAAACCCTTTCAATTTTATATAAATCGAGTTTTTAGAGAGTAAGTTCTATGATTAGATGGGGCAGTAAATAAAGGTAAACAATAATTCCACAGCGTGTCAACCCCGTCTAGCGCACGTCTAGTGCGTAATCGCAAGCGTCTAACCCGACCTTAGAGGATGGAAAAAAAATAAAAGCACCGACATCCCCGAAGGACATAATCGATTAGACTTTTTGAATGTAGGTCGCATATCTCGCCATCGACACTGTTTTACCAAAATGTGACCTCTTACATGACTAAATATGGTAATAACTCGGTATTAACCTAATAACTAAACGACTTCTGGCAACTTCCATTCATGATTACCGACTCACACGCCCGCGCGCAATTTGGTTTTGGAGAGTCCGCCAATAACGTTGGTTCGCTAAAGTCTTTCATGTGCGCGCGTCCTTTCTCCTATGTATTATTATGGTTTTACATCGTAGTTTTTGTAAATATCTGTGTGCCCCATTGTTACCAATAAATAACCATAGTACTTTACCATCTGATTTATTTTATTTAGCCTGGTTAAAAGTATTGGAATATTTCTACGTTTTAAAAGTAGAAAACTTACGCCCACACCCCGAGTTATGGCCTGTGGATTTGCTACACCAAGCAAGTGAGCGATTTATTGCTTGTGTACCTAAACTAAATTAGTGTAGGAAGTATTATCACAAACACGATATAGATAAGATCGTAGAATTTCGTCATTGTTGGCAATGTAGCAAATTATATGTTACTTAAATTAAACCGTTGAGTATACAATTGTTACTGTTGTTTCCGGGTATTGTAGTGTGGTCGGTTAACCCTAATTATGTAATTTGTATCTTGAACACTGTACAATACAATACAAATGCTTATTATTATATCAAAATATAAAGACAAACACGAGGTAATAAACTGGGTATGGGTAATAGGCGACAATGAAAGTAGCAATCTCCTAACATAGTATGTGAATCTTATTACAGCAAAAAGTATACAACGAAATCATGGACGTCCTAGGAACAGACGAAGACGTGACCGAGGATCATTTGAAGCAACTGCACAGCCTTGATTTGGTGTACAAGGAGGCACTTAGATATCTCTCTATTGCTGCATTTATACAGAGGAGTGTGGAAAAAGAAATTACTATAAATGAAGGTACGCAGTCGCGCACGCACACACAAATGAGCATGCAAACACAGACGCGCAAACGCACAAAACCGACCAACTCACTCGTAACCTACACAACCACGGAAACTTACACAAACGCAAGAGCATGCGCACGCCTTTTAATAAACAAACATACAACAACGCACTCAGTTTGCCGATTTTAAAAAGGTAAACCAATAGTCCAGTGGGTGACTTTTATTTCTAGGTTGGACTCCTGTCTATGTTTCAATTCTTTATTGTAATGTAGGAGTTACATTATAAACGTTATTATTAATTAAATCAGTTACGCTAGATCAATCGCATTGCTGAGCAAAATTACCAATCATACATATATAAACCATATTATTAGCAAACTGTATGTACTAAGCATGTTGTATTATTATTATGGCAAATAAAATTTTCTTATTATTATAATATAAAATATCAAATACGACGCTACTCAAACACTCTTCTGCCTCCTGATTGGTTAAAATATAAGAGGTACTTGGCCAATCACGGACACTTTTATTCTATCTCTTTGGTTTTTTGTTTTGCAGCATTTGTTTGGCTTTCGTTTGAATTTGTTGTCGTGGATTGTTAAGAAAATGTAGGGTCACCTGTCCAACAATGAAACACTCGTACACCAACAATGAAATACCGCGATAGTTTGAAAATCCGACGTTATCAAATAGTGCAGAACAGGATGCGCTCGTGCAATTTTCGTCGTTTTCTTACTTAATTAAAAAATCCCGTATTGCTAAATATTGCTTAGTATTTTTTGATTTACCTGTTTCACTGTTGAATATAAGGTGTTTTATTGTGTACATACCTGTGGACACAATGAAACATTTCCCATTTAAAAAAATAAACCTTATTAAAGATTATTATTAATACAAATATGAGAAGATTATCTATAAACTGTGTAAGAAATCTGTTTGAGACATTCGATGCTCAATTAAGTTGGCTATCTGTGTAAAAAAATTATCCTTGACTTTAAAAATAACAGAACCATGAATGTTTGAAATTTTGGTGTTTTATTGTTGGACATGTGACCCTGCATTAATTTTTTAATGATTATCAGATTGTAAACCACCATGATATTCAATGTTTTTTTGTGAAATTACTCCACTAGTTTGTTATAACTATTAATAATTATAACAAATATACATTAAATATTGGTTGAGTTTGTATAGATTAACCACTGAAAAATTCAGCTGTTCTATTTATTTTTGTCGATTATTAGTACAATTATCGAACCCCGAATTTCTTCTCCCTGTCTGAGAGGTCGGAAAAGTATTAAGTATAAAATCTATGATTATAATAATAATATTTTTCTTCCCTTCAGGAAAATTGACGTTACCAGTTGGTACAGCAGTAATTATATCGATTCATATGCTACATCGGGACCTCTGTCACTGGGAAGAACCAAACAAAGTGAAGCCAGAGAGATTTCTGCCCGAGAACGTGAAGCAACGAGATCCTAATGCTTTTGTGCCGTTTAGCTTGGGTGCTATGGACTGTTTAGGTAGGTAGTCTATTTTTTTTAAAGGAAAGCTGGAAAAAATATTTCTAGTAGTTTCTATCTTTATCCTGAACAGACAAACGCAGTGAAGATTTCTGTTTGTATACGATATAGTTGAAATATAGGTATAAGTTACAATACAATCGTAGATCATTATGCGACATGTAGCACGTGATTGTAAATATTTTCTTGAACACAGTCAAGGTTAAATCGTACAACACATCTGCTATTTGAAAAAAAATTCAACACAGTGCAGCCATTTTGCACGATTTAACCTACACGGGATTGTTGTAGTAGCAACGTAATTTGTAAGTAGCAGTAGAGCTCCTTGTGAAAGAGTTCGTCCAGGGAAGTGCTGCCACCTTATCTATTTCTGCCGCCAAGCAGTAATGTCAGCATTAGTGTGTTCCGGTTTTGAAATTATAGGCACATGGGACTTGTCAACTTATGTCACAGGGTGACGGGCACAGTGGCAGTGCCCTCTCAGATCTTCATAATTTAAAGTCCCAAGTGACACTACAACTGGTTATGGACAGACGTGTAGTTTACCATCAGGCACAATGCGCTTGTGCGTCCCGCCCGTCACTTGATTTTAAAACAAAAAATATTTTTTCTTCCATTTGTTTTCTCCAATTTGCTTCAACATGAAATACAATATATGATTGGAATACAATAAAAATAAGTTATGTCCGTTAGTGGACAACCTGTCCAAAAACATTTCAAACTAAATATTTCTCTAAAAAAAAAAAAATTTTCTATCTAGTTATAGTTACAGGTACAAAATTACATCAGTGGCTGCCGTTTGAGGCATTGTGCCTAGAGTTTTGACAACATATTCTTTCGAGTAAACGGTGAAACACATAATTTCAGGTAGAGTCTACGCTACATCTCTTATAAAAACCTTTGTCGTCCAAACACTAAGGCGAGTTCAGTTGGAAGCAGATGGAAACATTGAAGATTTAGAACTCCACGTTGCCATCTCAGTGAAGTTCGCGAAGGGATACAACTTGAGAGCTCGACCACGTACTTGATCTCGACTTGAGAGTTAAGGGTTGTAGATTGCAGGTTGTTTAATTAATGTAGTGTCAAATTTACGGGATAATTTTGCCAAAACAATGAAACAAATGGATTGTTGTGTACAATAAACGCATTTTTCTTAAAATTTATATATTTTTATTATCTCATTCTTGACCGTTGCCACTAATAATACATAAATTGTTAAATGGGCCGTTGATAAATGGGCGTTATATCACTTTTAAATATCAACTCTCGTTTGCACTAAAATCACAAATTACAAAGCTGAAAAGCTTCGTAATTTGTGATTTCACAAAATCTCTCTCCGTATATTTCAAAAATATTTCGTATTTAATTATAAGAAAGATAATATCTCTAACTATGGGGGCCTGTACATTCGGTGGTGTGGGAAAAACAGCAAAACATCTAATTACGAAACAAACGGAATTACATTTCATCGGTAATTAAATATTAAATATGTAATTGTTCAATTTTCGTCCATTATAGCAATGCTCAAGTTGAATTGGTCGATTTGAAGTGAAACAATTGACGACACCCATCAATTGTTTCGAATTCGGGCTAGCCCATCGGAACGCAGTTCACAGCCGTAATGATTTGGTAGAATAGTTTTCAAATAAATTAAATGACATATCGTCTCTATTTCTGATTATATACTCGATGAATGCAACTAATAATTAATTTAAAAAAATAACATTATAATTTAAAGTGTGATGGAAGAGTTTTCTGTACATAACTCGTCTAAGTAGATTGTATTGTCCTTCCTACCTATTCCTACCGCAAATTAACACTGCTGTACTCTGAAGGTAAGGATAGGGAGAACACAGGAGGCTTAGGGAGTCATCATATATATCGGGCCGGGTGCGAGCCGTGTCCGAGGCATCCGAGCCTTGTACGTGCCGCACGATCTTAAATTTGAAAGAGCGCTGCTGGCGCTGGTGGAGTTCTGTAGGATTGTAATGTAGCTAGGAGAGTAGTAGTAGCCTCCGCAGCCTCCATACATCTTGCTTAGCACTTTTAAAGTCCAAAATTCGAAAGGGTAAAGAACTTGTGGTAATTCATCCAGTTTTATAAATATTATTCCCGTTTTATTAATATTTGTGATCTTTAAAATGTTTATCGCACAATAGATTTTTGGTAACTGATAAACGGTTCAAAAAATTAACAAGAAGATGTGTTCGCTACCGCGATCGAGCACGGAGTGACAGTGGAACGAAACAAAATCAGAATACGAGGCAAAAGAACTATGGAACAATTCAAAATTTAAATTTAATACGAGTGGCCAGGAAGCGGAGAAAGGCGACAAAAAGGTGGGAAGACGATTTAAGGAGGTCACACCGCCACAAATTAGACTGAGTCATCTGTCAGTAGGACGGGATTTACGCTCGAATACGAACATAGTGTTATATCGTATTATAAAGCACTGGGTAATTTCTTACGCACTCAAAAAATTTTTTCATCATCCATTTTTAAAAAAAGAAAGTCGCACACTCGGACGGGGCGTGTACGACGCACTGGAGAGTGTTCACATTACAACGAGCCGAGGCGGGCCGGGCCGCATCCGAGGCTTGAACCAGCTCGAATCGGCACGTTGAATGCGAATTAATACTTCATATAAAATGTACGCAGCATTTTCAATCCGAGTCTCGTACATGACTCGACTCGCGTCCGTCACGGTCTAATGTGAATAGTCGTTAAGTTCTATTTCGACCGTCAGAGGTGAAGGTCGAGTCGCTTGGGCTTACACACGGCTTTATAAACGTACGCCACATGTACTTACACGGAGCGCATAGAATACCTAAAATCAATTAGCGCCAGAAACTCGGTACCATCTTAACATAAGCTTAACCACTATCTTTTCGTAGCAATAGAGCATCTTGTGTTTTTTTTTTTATAAAATATAGGTGCGCATTTGACCTCCATCTCACCTGATGGAAAGCGACGATGAGATCAACGATGGAGGATGCACACCTAAATAATGCCTATTCACTCTCGCCTTGAAAAGGTCCAAGTTATAACATTCAGGGAACAAGTCTGCAGGCAGGGAATTCCACTCCATAGCTGTTCGCCATATAAATGTGGAAGCGTAACGCTTCGTGCGAATCTTTGGAATATCCACAACATAGGGGTGGAACCTAAGCCTACGCCTAGTCCCCCAGTGATGGAAAGGGGAAGGCGGAATTAAATCGTGTAATTCCATCGCACACTCTCCGTGATATATCCTGTAAAATACCGATAAGCAGGTAACTTTACGGCGGTGTTCAAGGCTCTGCAGCTTCGCCTCCACTAATTCCGAGTCACCTATAAGCCTCTTGGCACGGTTGTCAATTGAATCCAAAGTGGCCAGTTGATATGTCGCAGAGCCATCCCAAAGGTGGCAGCAGTACTCCATACACGATCGGATTTGTGCTTGGTACAGTTGAAGCAACTGTCCCGGTGAAAAGTAACGCCTCACCCTGGAAAGGATCCCAAGCTTCCTTGCTGCATTTTTGGCCATGGATTCAATGTATCTGCCGAAGTTCAAATTGGACGATAGGTCCATTCCAAGTAGCTGGAGACAATCGGTATGGATATATCACGAAAAGTCGGAGTCAGTTCAAAGGGACTCCGTTTTGTGGAGAATAGACACGTCTGCGTTTTGGTACCGTTAAATTTGACAAGATTGGCGTTGCCTAAATCGGAGACTGCCTGGAGTGTCAAATCTAAACGGTTAGCCGTTTAGATGGACTCTCGACGAGACTGGATTTCCTCTCCACTGACCCTTGCATTGAGCAAGTACCGACAACTGTGCGGTCATCAGCATACGCAAAGGTACCTGGAATTAACATACCATTGACATGCAGCAAAAAGAGAGTTGCAGACAGTACAGAACCCTGAGGAGCTCCGGATCTATCGCCATATGTTCGGAAGAGTAGTCTTCTAAGACCACTCGAATCGAACGTTCGCTCAAGAAATCCGAGATCCAATTGCAAAGGTCAGTGGGAAGCCCATAAGAGGGAAGCTTACTTAAAAAGCTTGCGTGTCAGATCCTGTCAAAGGCTTTAGAATTGTCCAAAGACACTGCAAGTGCTTCGCCTTGCTTTTCTATAGTTTCGATCCATATGTGACATGCATACACAAGAAGATCCCCAGTAGATCGCTCTCGTCGGAATCCGTATTGGCGATCACTGAGGAGGTCGTTGTCTTCAATGTACGATAGGAGACGGTTGTTGAGTACACGTTCTATAGTCTTTCAGAGTATGGACGTGACTGAGATAGGTCTATAGTTGACAGGGTCAGCTCTGCTTCCCTTTTTAGGCACACAGGTTGCACATTTGCAAGCTTCCACGACCTGGGAACTACACCAGTCTCAAGTGAGAGGCGGTACAGGCGTGTGAGAACAGGAGACAACGCAGGACTATTGCTGGAATTCCATCTGGCCCGCTAGCTTTATTCACGTCTAGATTTCGCAGAGTTCTAAGTACCTCTTTTTGGCGTATGCGAACTGGCGCCATAGTGCAGCCAGCCTGAGGTAAAGTAGGTGGTAGGGTCCCTGCGGCATCTAGACGCGAATTTTCTGCAAAGAGTGAGGCAAAGAGATTCGCCTTCTCTTCCGCAGTATGAGCCAGCTAGCTATCCGGCCTCAGCAGAGGTGGCAAAGATGGGCGACAAAAGTTAGATTCGACCGCTTTGGCCAGGGACCAAAAGGATTTGCTGCCTGCTGGATAAGAGGCAAGCTTGGCCCCTATGCGGCGCACATGGTCGAACTTGAAACAAAAGAAACAAAAAAGTTCGTCCAACTCTTTTTACGAACTGGACGAACTCCTTAACTATTTTTGCAGCCAAGCAGTAATGTGAGCATTACTGCTTTCCGGTTTTGAATGGTAAAGGTACTGGTGAAAGTACAGACTCATGGGACTTATCACCTTATTTTTGAGATTTAAATCTCTGAGTGACACTGCAACTGCTATGGACAGGCGTGTTGTATATCACCAGGCTCACGACTTGTTCGTCCCGTCACTTAGCTTTTTTTTATGATACCAAGTGACAGGACGGGCAAGTCGTGTGCCTGGTGGTAAGCGACACGCTTGTCCATAGCAGCTGCAGTGCCACTCAGAGCTTTAAATCGTGGAGATCTGAGGGGCACTGCCACTGCGTCCGTCATCCTGAGACATAAGTTGACAAGTCCCATCCTAACCGGAACGCAGCAATGTGAGTATTACTGCTTGGCGGTAGGAATAAGTAAAGTGGCAGTACTTCCCTGGACGAACTCTTTCACGCGAGGTCTACTGCTACTAAGTATCATAAATAAACTTACCTTAAAGAAAGTGCAGACGTAAACCAAGATTGTTTCCGTGTTCTGTAGAAAGGGCATAAGTGACATTTCGTAGATTTTTCAGGGAAGCATGTTTTAGGTTCGGTTGTTTTTAAAACATTTATGTTCTGTTTTAAAATTAGATTTTAAAACTTAAACGTAATTCAAACCAAAATTGAAAAATCTACAAAATCTCCCTTACTTATAAAACACCATCGATGTACTGTTGCCTGAAAGTCGCCTGTTGATTTACTAAATATAATTTTAACTTACGTACGTAATAAGAAACAAGTTCTAACAATGTAAATAAATTCCTGTCGACAATTTACTCTATATTTAGTTATACATAAGCTTTAACGCATTCCTTATGTAATAATTATTTCCTTAATTACATTAGATTGCAGGAACTAATTACATGAACTTGACCTGTTGGAGTTGGGGGTAGGGGCCTAATGCCCCTTATGCACACGCACCGTAATAATAGGCTTTAGTTTTTATTTATAGATGATAAAACGTGTTGGTACGATAACACGTGTCTAGTGCTCTAGAGCTTCTATAATAAAAAATATGAGAGTAGAACTCGCGGACTGCGCTTCTTGCCCGTGGACCACCTGCCTGGTTCACCTGGGTGGCAATTATTTCTTCCCATGGTTCGCCTCTTACGTATAAAATATAAATACTCAAAATTTATTTTTATGGTGGTCCACCTCATACATTAACATTTTGAACACCTCAAAAGCGCATTTTTAAATGTTTTA